GCTGCAGCTTCGTCTCTGAGTGCATGTGCGGGATTGTAGGGCTCGGGAGGGGATGCAAAACAGTCACAAACACAAGCATCAACTTGACTCTTGGCCCCCAGCCAGCGTTCGATGAAAGAGAGGGTTAGGTGGGACCCGCAGCTTCCAAGTAGCCAGCTCCAGCTGAAACTAGAAAGGAGGAATAGAATCAGCTTCCAAACCAAGAAAATGCATGTGCCAAGGACTGTTTTTAAAACCCTGCCGACCCCAACAATCCGCGCAAACAGAGACGAAGAAGCTAGTCAGGACTTTGGCTGTCGGGCCCTTTTCTTTGGCGCTGCCAGCTCCCCGGATTTGATGGCCTCTGAGATCTTATTGGCCAAGCGCTCTTTCACATCACCATCAGCGTCACGCTCCTCATCCTCGTTTCCACCCAGGACAGAGTCAATGATTGAAAGGATGGCTGCCTCATCTGGTTCCTGAGCTGCACGTTTTCGCGAAGGTTTGGCTTGGCTCTTGTCCTGCTCATGGGTTCGCGATTTGGCCAGCCGAAGTAGATCATGGAGTAGCTCTGTAGGCTCTCCCTTCATTGCCGACTGGGCAGCCTCAGTTTCCTGGTTAGGCTTTGGCTTTTGCGGCTCTTGTGATGAGAAAGCGTTGACCAACTTCTGCAGTGAACTTCCAACAGCCGTCAAGGTGGAGAGGATAGCATTGCTCGTCTCATGCTTTTGCATAGCACTGCCATCTGGCACCTCAAACCCTGTGGCTGTAGGACCAGCTGCAGGGGTCACAGTAGCACCAGTGAAATGATGAGGCTGCGACTGCCCAACCGGCGGATTTTGGTAGAGCCCTTGAGGGACATACTGAAAGGAATTCGCTGGGACTTGCGGCAGCGCAGGGTTTTGCACCATCATCACTGGCACGGCCTGTGGCTGCTGGCAGGTGTGTGCTGGAATGCCTTGAGATTGCCCGAATCCTGCTGAAGCAAGCATGGGTCCTAGCATAGTGAGCTGCTGCTGCTCCTGGTATCGTCTGGCAAGGCCATGGAGCAGGCCAAGGCCATCTCGGTGGCCCTTTCCACCTTTTCCGCCCCACGGTTTGCCCATTGGCGAGGCACAGCAACTAACTACCGCTAAGGCCGGGAGGCACGGATCTCTACGAGCAAATAACCGTCAGCATATCATGGTAAGAGCAGCCTGCACACGGCTAGCAACGATGCTTGGCACGACGCATGATTGCCCTCATCATGCAACTAACCTTGGGCATACGTTCTTGCTTAGCCCATACAGCTTCAATGAGTTTAGGGGGGTAGCCATATTTCAGCCACACCGCTGCTTCACCTGCGACAGCGCTAACCAAAGCATCTGGATCCAACCGCAACTGCTCCCAACGAGCAACCCTGGAACAGACCAGCGAATGAAGCTGATTGAGGTTAACATGTGAGCATCCTAGGAAGGGGGGCATGACAAACTTCACGGGTGCATCTGTCTCATCCCTGAGAAAACCTTCGTCCCTCATGAGGGGCATGACTCGAACTCCGTGTTCCCCAGTGTGGACATGCACATCCAACCATGCTTGGAAGGTGGCCTCTCCTGCTGCTTCTTCCCAGGAGACCCAGGGTGGATATATGGCAGCAGGCAGCTCTGCCAGGCAACGACGGCAAAAGTGTCGACTAACTAAGCACAAATCATCAACGTACCGTTTTTGGGCAACAAGCTGGCTCCAAGGCAAGTTTCCAAGAGCATATCCATGCTCTTCGCGCAATCCACAGTTCTTCAACCAATCATTTTCAATGTGGCTCAAGCATGCCTCTGCAGAGGAGGTTGAGCAGATGCCGCCTATGGGAGTACCCGCGCACTGACGCCACACTGTGTTACCAAGTCTGACAAACCGCTGCGCAAGGGTGAGGGCCGTCCCTACTACCATATCTTGCACAGAAACCACACGCATGCCCCGGATGGATAAATGCAAGTTTCGGGCAAGGAACGGCTTTCGTTTGCATTGGCGCGCTGTAGGCACGACAACACCTGTTACACCTTTCCCGAGCAAGTCTTGCACGAGCGCCTCGACAGCAACATTGACATCTTTAGGGTTCATTGACTCAAACATAGCTTCAATGTCCATGACGCAAACTTCACACGCAGATTTCTGCCGGCCGCATCGTGCGCAGTGATGCTCATCGTCCGGCACCGATAAAGCTAAGCAGTCATCAAGGAGTTCACGTACAGCAAGTTTTAAATTTGAAGCAGTAAACCCTGGCTGAACAAGCCTGACAGTTGCCATGACAGCTCGGTTGCACCTACGGAGCCATTGCTTGCCTGGATGCCAAAACCATGAAGCGATTTTCCTGTAACAAGAGTGCGCAGGCTTCAGGCACGTGTGAGTGAAGGACTTATAGCATTTACTCTTAACGGACCCAAAGAGGTATGGGAGGCTGGCACTAAACCACCTACTACGGGGAAATTGGGGAATGCTGCAATGTTTGCTAGCCCAGTTGAAGGTGGCTCGCATACCCTCAAGGGCTGCGTGAGGGCTAAGATTTGTTGGCTGCCAATGCTTGCTGTCCTCATGCATCAAGGAGTCAAGCCGAAAAACGTAGCACTCAGCATTTTGCCGCCACAAAGTAGCATTGTCTTTATCTTCAACAACAAGTGCTTCACCAACTGCAGGCATCTTCATTTCAGCAGTGTAGTTTGCAAACTCACTGGAAATCTGTGGAGCCTTCGTAGCAGCATGGCACGCAATTTCAACCCACTCGTCACACATTTTTTCAGACGGCACACGTTGACGGCAGCCTTCCAACCAGGCACAAATGTCAGACACAAATGCTTGG